AAAAAAAAAAAAAAAAAAAAAAAACGTTGCCACGTCAGGACACTTTCTGTGCGAAGCAGTCTGACAGTAATATGCTTGTCCCATTCACATGCACTTCCGAATCTCGGACCAAACTCGTCGGAGGTCCGAAGGAGGTCTCCCGAAAACGCAACTTTGCAGGCGGGATGGGACTCGCCACACCACTCTTGAAATGTGAAAAAGACAAAAATGTGCCGGGTGCATCAGCCCATGTTCTAGCGGGAAGTTCGTTCTCATTTTGCACATTTCGAGAGTGGTGTGGCGATGCCCGATGTAGAGGTTACTTTCGGGAGCGCACTCGCGGGAGCCTCATGCTGACAGCAGCTCCCGAGTTATATCTGACAGATCACATCGGGAGCTGGTGTGGCGCTGGAGTCCAAGCAACAGCCAGTTTCAGAAGTAGTGTGGCGAGTAGTCAGCATCATTCTCTACCGTTTTTTCTCAATCATCCTGAAGTGTTCCTGAATCAAAAAAAAAAAAAGGGTGGCGAGGCCCTGATATCCTCTAAATTTATTGAATTTCTGTATAGGGGACGCTGGACCCGTTTTCCAGCAGGTGATGCTCCCCACCAATAGATGGAGCCTCTCCCCCAGGTGCTAGTGGTGTCCTCTCTTACCAGCACCACTGGCACCGGAGCGAGGCTCGTACTACTGGTTGCAGTACTTGCTTTTTTCGCTATACCTGTTTTGTTTGCTCCTTTTGTTGCCTCTTTCTTTTCTGTTTGTTAACTTTTCTTTTTTCGTAAACGAAAGGTGGAAGCCCTTCTGATCCATTATTGGACGGACTGGACGGACTGGCTTGAGTTTACGGAACTTAATGACTAATTATTTTTTTAATCTGGTTAATATCTGGAGTAATTGCTAATCTGCTAATTCCTAGGTAAAATCGAAGAGAGGAATTACTCAGGTAGTTGCTTACCCCATGGCGGATGTCAGCGGTTCGAGTCCGCTTACCTCCACTGGGTACTAAACTCCGAAAATCGAAAAAGGGAGATACGACCTTGGGTCTGTATTTCAGCAGTTCAAGGGTGTACCAACTGAGGGCCTCGCCACACCAGTCTCGAAATCATGATGTGCAACAAAATGAGAATGACCCACCCTCTAGAACATGGGCAGATGCACCCACCACGATTTTGTCTTTGTCACAATTGGAGAGTGGTATGGAGACGCCCCGAGTTTTCCCGGTTGGTCTTACATGCACAACAGCTTGTGTCTATTGGTAAGCAATGACACCTGCCAGGAAAAAAAAAAAAAGAAAAAAAAAGAAAAAGAAAAGGAACGGGGTCCCAACGTTTTTTGGCTTCTTATTCCTTTCAACACCCATCCCAAGCAATAATTGTCCTGACCCCCC